CCGGCTGCCGTCAGTTGGGAGCCTCTATTCAAAGGCAGTGGCAGGTTGAGACTCTTCAGGTTTTCTCTGGCAATGGCCAGGAGAAACACCCAGGAGATGGACTTATTATCCAGCAGCAGTGGTACAGTAAAAACACTAGTGTGAAAAATGGTGATTTTAGTCACTGTGACACCGGACCAGAAAGAGAAGATTCAATGAGGCTGAATTTGCAAGAAAGTTGGTGTTTGAATTAACGCAGAACTTGCTGGTGCTGTGGTAGATCGATGGTGTTGGAGATGTAAGGTGCTAGGGTAGTGGGATGCTGGGGAAAGCAGCAATGGAACTTAATGTTCAGTAGCCTAAAGAAGTATAGACTTCTTTTTGAGCCTTTCCTAATCTGATATAATTTGCTTTTTGTATATTTATTGCTCTTCCTATTCAGAGGAATTTGCTGCTGCTTCGTCTTTATTTCCCTTCCTGCACTCCAAAAAAAAAAAAAATTGAGAGACTTGGGAGTGCAAAAAAATATTGACTTCCTTTTTTTGAAAGCAGAATGCTGCTATTTTAGGCAAGTAACTAAATGATCTAACAATACTTCAGATAAGTGTTTGGAACTTTGATAGATGTTTCATGCAGAGGGTCAGTCCTCATCTCCATTTTGCTCCTCCCCAGCCCCAGGTACGTGTCACAACCTGCGATGTTCTGGCCAGCAATGAGGATATGAGTGATGTGAAACATCATCCCAGTGGGTTAGGGTCACGTTGATGCTGCCAGCTCATCTCTTTAGGGGTACAAATCTTACGGGAGATCGAAGACCAGTGTGTCAGAAGGCTGGCCTTTTGTTCTGTGCTGGAGGAGCACAACTCCATCAAAATCCCAGAGCCCCAGTCCATGCTAGGACTGGCAATCACACTTACTGGGGACAAGAAGCCCTCTCCCAAAAATTGCTCAGTATCCTGTGCAAAAATTAAAATCCAGTGCTTCTGGAAGGAGAGTCTGAAGGTTAAGGTGAGGGGTAAGGTCCTGCTTCTTTAGAAGGTTTGTCCAGAGCTGGCCGGTGGCCACAGTAGTTGAAAATCCTTGGATACATGTGGATGGCTATGCTGGGTCAGACCAAAGGTGCTTACTCTAAGACAGGCTCCCGCTGTTGACCAAGGTAGGAGCACAACAGCCCAGCGAGTGTAAAGCAGTGCTTTTTCAGATGCCAACAGCTTGTGGCTCAGGTGCCTGCTGGTGGCACCTGCTGGTGCTTTTCCTTTAGTGCTCTCCATGGATTTTTCCTTCGTGAGTTTGTCTGGCTGTTTTGGAAATCTTAGGGGGAGTGCTGATGGCACAGCAGTGTCTTGTATCTCTGCACTTACCTGGCTGAAGCGGATTCAATCAGATCTGAGACATCCATGAAAAAGTCTTTCCACAGCCTCTGTATATATTTTCGCTGCTTTCAGGCAAAACTATAAAAATTTATTATATTCACACTAACTATTTAATATGGAAATAATTTTCATGACCAGCACAGAAGGGGGGCCGTGAGCACACTTTCTTCTTTCTTCTGCAGAAGTTTGTAATGAAAGATTGAAACAGAAGTTGTGCTAATAAAGGAGAAATGGCACCAGAAAGTGTGTCTGGTTGGTCTTGTAAAATCGTGTTATCAAAATGGACTATTTAGTTATAATTTTTAATCCACAAGCATGGAGTAGAGTATAAAAAGTCTGCAAGACAAAGTTGTGCATTAGGTTAATACAGGGATGTGCCATTCAAAAAAAGATATTTTGCTGAAAATATTTAAGGAATACTTTCTCTGTATATCTCAACCACTGCATCTGTTTTTACTTTGAATTATTTTCTGGGTTTTTTGCTTTCTGTGCCCTGCCCATAAATGCACCCATGTGTTATGGTTCGCTTTAGTAGCTGGTTGTTGGGTTTCTTTAAGCAGAACGGCTTCCACTAGGCAAAATTAGGATTTTTGTAAAATGTTTACTTTCTGGGTAAAGAAAACCCACAGTGTTTCTAACAACAGAAAAATTAAAATACCATTAGAGAACATCTTGGGTTTCTCTGCTTCTTTGCTAAAATGCAAAGAGAAACAGGGAATATAAATGAGGATAGATTTAGTTACAAGTGTCACTTACAAAACATGAAAATTCAGTTTCACTTGAAGAATAGCCTATCTCGCCAGTGGGAGGAATGCAGATGTGAGAGAGAAATGCAGATGTGAGAGAAACGCTGGAGGGGGACTTTTTACAAGGGCATGTGATGACAGGACAAGGGGTAACAGGTTTAAATGGAAAGAGGGTAATTAGACATCAGGAAAAAAAATTATTCTTGGAGAGAGTGGTGAGGCACTGGGACAGGTTGCCCAGAGAAGCTGTGGATGCCCCATCCCTGGATGTCTTCAAGGCCAGGCTGGATGAGGCTTTGAGCAACCTGGTCTAGTGGAAGGTGTCCCTGCCCATGGCAGGGGGGTTGGAACTGGATGGTCTTTAAGGTCCCTTCCAACCCCAACCAGTCTGGGATTCTATGAAATGCAAAGGTGACTGCCCCTCCAGGACAGAAAGACAGGTCATGCGATGGTACAGAAAACTGAATGGAGCAGGGGAAGACTCCTGGAGTCTCATTATAGAGCCATTTGTTTGTCTGACTCTCTCAAAATACAGAGCAAAATTAAAGCAGCTGTCCACCCCAGCCAACTGCATGTCAGTCCTGTCAGAAATTGTGGTAATACGGGGAAAAAAATCAAATGCAGCCAAATTGACAGCTGACAATTGTAAGCCCAATGGGATGTATACATGCAGCTATCAGGAAAGGAAGAGAATTTGGGACTGTAAAACTGAATATGGATGAATATGCCCATTATTCATGCCTGAATCGGTGCCTCCGAGAGCACAGAGGGGCTATTGCCCCCACGTTCATGGCTAAAACAAAAATTTACTTTTTTTTTCCCATGCAAAATACATTGACTTTCCATTGAAAAGCCAGACAAAAGATCCGCCTGTTCAGTTTGGAAATGCCAGCTGGGAACTGGCATCAATAGATCCTGTCCTCTCCCTCCCCACAGGTGAGGTATTGAACACAGGCAGTGCTGAAAGTGGAGCCCCCCCTTCCCTCTGGGAGCCAGGAGATGGGAGGTCCCTCCTGCACCAAACCGTGGCAGATGCTGTCAGTGGTTTACTCCTGTCAATAAAACCAAAATAATATCCAGATTTCCTTCATAAAGCAGCTGCCCCTTACAGAAAATCATCTGAAGTGGAAAGGCCCAATATTCAGTTGAAAAAATTGTTTGGATGGTGATTTTCAAGAGGCAGTAGATAGAAATGTCATTTGAACTTGATGAAAGCAAGATGCCTTTTTTGCCTCTGTGACTCTTTCAGAGCCCTGTTTACAGCACTCCTTCCAGAGAAGCTATGCAGGACAGGGGAAAAAAGAAGAGTTATTTGTAAATATTTCATATTCTCAGACCTGAGAACTGTAACCAAATGTGAATCTCCTCATTTCCCATTTTTTCTGCTTTTGCCACGTTTTAGTTTCAAGTTACCTGCATTCCAGATAGACTCAGTGTCACCACGGTCTTTTTTCTTAAAGTAGCGTATACCAGACATGCAGAAATCATGAATCTGAGATTTATCGTGCTTTATCCTAAAAGGTTGATCCTTCTGTTCAGCACTGTAATTATTCTTGCCCTATTGATCCATTTATGTGGCCACTGAATAGGTTCTGTGAGGTCTCGGGCTCATCCATACTGTCTTCCCAGGCTGCTTTGCATCCATCTGCCTATGTTAAAGTGCTTTTAATGAGAAACTAATAACATACCCATTCCCAAAGTATGTTTATCTGGCAGGTTCTGCCAAGAAAATGGTGTACAAAATGGAGAAGAACAAATAAGTTGGAGTAACATCCCAGATCCTCTACCTGTCCTGCCAGCATGTATAATGCAGCCTTCCTGTTAGGGTCTACCCCCATGTAAAAAGAAACACTTTGCCTCTTAGCCAACAGCACCAACAGAGAAGGTGCTGCTGTCGCTTGGAGAGGTGTAAAACTTCTCTGTGCAGGTCAGCTGTTTGGAGGAAAAGCTGAAATCAAAACATTTGTAATCTGGAGGCTGTTCAAGTACCATTTCTCCCGCTAGCCGCAGTGCTGAGCTGTTCCTCTTTCAGTATTTTCTATCTCAGCTTGTTCCTGAGCCCCATCCTCGTATGCTGTGCCCAACACTCCTCCTTCACCTCTATCCCATCACGCCCTCCAGCCCCCGGCTCCAGGAACATCCCAGCCCAGTGCCTGTGAAACTCTGCTGTGCTTTTCTGCGTGGTTCAAACTGCTTGAGAGAGTTGATTGCTTTCCACATCTGACCTAGCACAGACAAGGGTCTTCATGAGGGTGAGGAGTATGTTTGGTCGCCTATCCTGTAGGTCATCTGGCCAAAAAATGGTCTTGGTGAGAGAAATGGTATTGGCAGGAA